CCTCGTTTGAGCCTGAAGCATTGGGCAACCTGGTCGAAGGGATGGACTTCCACAGGTTCTACTTCGAGAACTGTGAGTGAGGGCGTGGGGGGCGGGGGGATGGCGCGGGGGCCAGGGAGGCCCCTCCTGCCCAGGCCATGCAGCCGGGCCCCGGGCAGGGGGAGCAGGCAGTGCCGGATGAGGGGCCGCGGGCTGATCCCAGCCGGTCCGCCCGCAGTGCTCGCCAAAAACAGCAAGCCGATCCACACGACCATCCTGAACCCGCACGTGCACGTCATCGGGGAGGACGCGGCCTGCATCGCCTACATCCGCCTCACGCAGTACATCGACGGCCAGGGCCGGCCCCGCACCAGCCAGTCCGAGGAGACCCGTGTGTGGCACCGCCGCGAGGGAAAGTGGCAGAACGTGCACTTCCACTGCTCAGGGGCGCCCGTGGCGCCGCCGCAGTGAGGTGAGGGGCGGGCGGGGTCACCGCGCACCAGGGGACCGGGGCAGACCTGGGGGCACGCGGGAGCTGACCCTCTGCCCTCCCCTTGCAGAGCCCGAGGGATCGTGTGTGGCGCCCGCCGCCCCAGGCTCTGGCCTGCCTGTCGCATGTTTGTGTCTGCCTCTTCCTCCCCTGGTGCCTGTGTCTGCAGAAAACCAAGACCCGATGTGGTTCCTTTTTAAAAACAAGATGACAGCAACCACCACAAAAAAGAAAAATAAATAAATGTCGGATGAAATGTGAAAAAAAAAAAACTTAACAAAGGAAACGCTGTAAAAATGACTGGCGCTGGTGGGGCTTGGGCCTGCCGGCCGCTCCAGGCTCGGCTGGGCACACTCGTCCACGGGCAGCCTGTCGCCCTCACGTGTGTGTTCGCTGGGACCCGCCCTCGCTGCTCGCTGCTCGCGGTGGGTAGTGCTGGGTGTCATCTAGGGGGCTGCGGGCCTGAGCGCAGCTGTTCCCTCTGCTTCGCTCCCTTCCTCTACCCCCTCCCCCGAAGGTGGGTGTGGGCTCCTCCCGTGCCAGCGCCTCGTGCCCTGATGCCCCGGTGTGGATGGGCAGTGCAGAGGCCAGGCCACCCAGGGAGGACGCCTGGAGAAGCTCTGAGGGCCCAGGCTGGCTCTGCTCTGCCCCTGCCCCCTCCAGGGGCTGAAAGTGCTTCAGACTCGGGGCAGCAGCCCTGTGGGGAGGGGACCCTTGGGCTGGCCTCCCTCCTGTTCGTGGGGTGTGCCTCTGACACAGAGGAACGTTGGCTCAGGGTTTGGTCCTGATGCAGGAAGGAGGGGTCAGAGGAGGCGGGGCTCCCTGGGCTCCAGGCTGCTGCAGGGTCCAGGCTGGGGGCAGCTGCTTTGGGGGAGCGCAGGGCAGGCCAGCCACTCGCCAGGCTTCAGGGGACACTGACGGGGACCCTGAGTGGGAGGAGGGGGCTGGGCTCGCTTCCGGGAGGCTCAGGGACGGCCTTGTGATCAGATGGAGGCGGCAGAGAGCAGCCAGGGGTGGGGGCAGGTCCAACCAGGCCTGGTCACAGAGACTGGGCTCCTCCTGCCCAGCACCAGGCACTCTTCAATTCACTTTGTTTTCAACGAAGATTTTCTTTATCTTCCTCCCAACACCAACCCCAGGGAGGTGCATAGAATGGGGAACAGGACATAGGACCTGATCTCCACGGAGACTGTCCATGCCACTCAGAGTGGACACTCACCTGCCCGCCCACAGCTCTGCTCAGGACAGCTGTCCCTGCCGTGGGCATGGCGGGGGGTGGCAGGGCTCGCCTCTGACAGTGGCAGCGTGTGCCCGGCCACTCACCTCCTGGGGCCTCCTCCCGCCTCTTCCCCGTGGAGCTGCCTGTCCAGGTTAATTTGGGACTTTTTCTGGGGGATAGTTCTTTTGCATGACCCCACAAGCAAGCCACACCCGCCCTTCCAGCTCGATGTCCATGGTGTGGCCGCGCTGGTCCGCCCTGCAGGGGTCGGCTTTCCTCTCTCCCTTTTTGCTGAGTTTCGTTGTCTTTCTTTCTGAGCCTTGTAAGTGTACAAAAAACTATTTTGTTCTGTCTCGGGAAACTGCAAATAAAAGGAAAACAGGACAAACTGCTTCATGTGCAGCTTGGTGCTTTGTGCTGGGACCCCACCACTCCTCACCCAGCCCCTTCCGTGGGGCCCCACTGGGCCTGGCTGAAGAGGCCGAGTCCAGACCTTCCTGAGCCTGGCCAGGTGGACAGCCCACCTGGGGTCCCCCTGTGTAGCCATAGGTCACAGCTCCAATACCTGACCCCACACACACACCCTCCCCAACCTCTAGTCACCCCAGTGGCGTCTGGGGAGGGAGGAGCTGCAGGGCCGGGCGCCACTGACCTACTGAGGCGCCCTCCATCAGCCACCTCGCCGGTATGGTTTGCTGACCGCCGGCCACGGGCTAGGGCATGTGTTGTCCATGGCCACGCTGCCTGCTTCGGGACCCTGGGTTGTGCGGACAGCACTCAGGCCTGCTTGGTTCAAACACCCACATCGCCCATGCACACGGTGGCTGCTGGGAGGCAAAGATGGAAACAGCAGGCGAGGAGACCAGGGACCAGGCAGGCTTCTCAAGGTCCAAATGGCCAGAGCCCCCAGCAGGATCTGGGACAGGCTGCCAGGTGCTGAGCCTAAGGTGCCCAGATGGAGGGAGAGAGGAAGGACTGGAGTGGCAGGGCTGGGAGCTCCCAGCAGGCTCCCTCTGCAGTGGCCCCAGCATGATACCCTGGGACACCCCCAGGCCTCTCTGCCCACCCTCTGCGCCTGGTCCCGGCCCTCAGGGGAAAGTGTCACCCAGTGCATCCTGGGAGGATACGAAGCCTGCCAGGCCTCCCTCGGGAGCGACCACCCTGGCCCGTGAGGCGTTAGCACTGACCGCATGGCTGCTGACCTGACCGACCACCGGTCCCTAAGGCCATCTGAGCACACGGCCGCCCTCGGCCCAGCTGCAGGCCTTTCCCTCCTCCCTCGCAGACGTGCTCACGTGGAGGCAGTGGCCTTCCTCACCCCCGACCCCAGGCCTTGCTGCTGCCTGTCTCTACCTGTGCCGCATGCTTTCCTGGGACAGAAATGGGGCTTCAAAACCACCCTCGACCTCAGTGCCCACATGAGCCTGTGGCTGAGAATGCAGGGACCCAGGGACCACCTCAGCCACCTCCTCCAGCTTCCCTCCAGGCGACGCCTCGCCAGGCCCAGACCAGGCGGCCCTTGGCATCCGTGTCAGTGCCGTGTGCTCCCCGGCAGCACTCGGGGACCTGAGCGGGTGGAGAATGTAGGCCAGAGCCAGAGCGGTGCCGGGCGGTGTCTCCTAGACCCAGGCCTATCGGCTGTAATCAGAGGAGCCTTCCGCCCGGCCCCCCAGTTCCTGCCCGAGGTGCACATGGCATCCCAGCCCGCCGGCAGGCCTGGGGCGGGGCGGGCACACAGCGGAGGGAGGTCAGGAGGCCCTTATTGTCTCACCTGCTTTGGGCAGGGCCCCCCGGGCCGCAGCAGGAAGGGGCTGGGCTGCTGTGGGTGTGGATGGTCACGCAGGGTGAGCTGAGCACAGGGTCCTGGGCCGGGCCAGACCAGCAGCTGAGACCACCCCCTACACTAGGGCCAGGCTGGCTCCCCAGCCCACAAGGACGTCCTAACACCTGCAGGGTCTGCTCTGCTCGCTCCCCTGCCTGGCTCCTGCCAGGTCTGAGAAAGATACAGCCTGAGCCTCCTCCCTGCCCCCACCCCTGCTTGCAGGCCTGGCCCTGCCCTCCCCCTTCACAGCAGAGAACAGAGGGTACACCGCACAGAGGACACAGTGAGGAAGGGCCTCATACCACCCTCCGCACCCCCCCCCCCGTCCCCCGGTTCAAACAGCACAGGACCATTTTGGGAATTTCAAAAGACAACTTTATCCAGATAGGAATCTCTCAAACAACACAAGAAAAGTTAGGCAGCGATTAAAATACACTCTTAGCCGATGACGTGAACAGGGAGCACAGGGCACAGGGCCTCTGCCAGCCACCCTCCCTCTTCCCAAATCCACCCACGCCCAGGTCCTCACCATCATCCACGACCCAACTGTCCTAAGTGGAGTCACAGCCACCTCCGGGGCCATGACAGGATGGGCCTGCACCCCAAGGAGGGTCCAGCAGGGGTCACACAGGCCAGCAGTACCTGGGAAAAGGCAGCCGGCAGGTGAACCTGTTGGGGCAGGTGCTCAGAAGCCACACAGATCCCATTCTCTGGCCCAAGTGAGATTTGGGGGTGAGTAGACCCTTCGGGCTGGCCAAGAACCAGGGCCCAAGGACGGACCCCGGGTGAGACCACTCTGGCTGACACCACCCCAGCACAGGCACCTCGCCCGCAGGTGGCACGCAGAGCAAGGGGGCAGTGTGGACAGGCAGCACGACCCAGGACCAGACAGGCCGAGGGCCGGCCCTACTGGGCCATCGCCTGGGCTGCTGTGTGGCCTGGTTTCCTGCTGCTGAGGGTCAGGAAGGATAGGGAGGCGGGGGGTCAGGAGGGATGGGGGCTGCACACTCAGACAAGTGGGGTACTGGGTCCTTGGTTGGCTGGCATCTGTTCTTGATGCCCAGTAACAGTGGCCACAGGAAGGCTGCTTGCTAAGACACGCAGGCCCAGGTGGCTGCCAAAAGTTTTGCTGCCAGAGGCCTGTGCCTGGGATCCAGGTTCAAGGCCAAACTGCAGGTCAGACAGGTGCCCCGCCCCCTCCACCACCTCCATGGCGTCAGCAGAAGTCAGTCTCAGCAGAAATGCAAACCGTGGCTCAGACCTGTGAATCCCAGGGGCTGTCTCCTCATGGCCCTGCTTGCCCCCACCCCCGTGACCTGGGCACCTTTCCCAGGAGAACCCAGTGTGCGTTCTGCCACTCCTAGCCCTGTGGATTGAGAACCCCCACACTGAAGCGTTAACACAGTTGATGTGCAAGTAAAACCCAAAGGCTGCTGAGGACCAAAACAGACAGGTTAGACTAGAGCCCTTGGGCATCTGCAGGAGTCATGGAGTGTTTATAGTTTCATTTGGCCCAAAAATACCTCTGAGAACCTCCAATTATCTTTTCAAAATTACCAGAAACATGAATTTGAACATTCCCCATCCCAGGTCCCTTCCGCTGCCTCGGCGCTTCCAGGAGCTCCAGTGAACGGGGACCGAGCTCTGGCCTGGCCATGGCCGAGGCGTCTGCGGAAGCCACGGTTCTGATGGAATGACGGGGACTGCAGCAAGGGGGCCCTGTGGGCGACGGTCACATGACTGCACAGCACGAGTTTTGCTTCCGGGCCTAGAAAGAGACAGAGGAGCAGAAGTGGGGCTAAGAAGCAGCCTGGGCACACAAAGGGAGGGATCCCTGAGCACTGAGGGGAAAGGACTGGAAGTACCCATCCTTGCTGCCTCCCGGCAGCTGGAAACAGGTCACAACCACGTCCTCCTCACCTACCACCAGGAAGGCGCCCGACACAAAAATGGGCATGGGCACTGGCTGGCTGAAGATCCCTTTGCCCACCCTCAACCCAACAAGGCTGGCACCTCTGATGTTTCTCTAGACAACAGAGTGGCTCCCCCTTAGGTCCTGGGCCCCTGAGAGCTCCTCTTGCTTCCTATTCAGATACCCCAAAGACACACAAAAGCAATGGTGTGTGGAGAACAAGCGAACTGGCAGCGTCAGAACCTGGGGGCGCTGCACCCCACAGCTCAGCCAACAGCAGGCAAGGGTGAGCCTAGGCTCAGAGCCTGCTCCCGCCTTCGCCTCCTGCAGGGCAGCCTGAAGAGGGGACAGGCCCGGCTGGCTCATTGCCGCAGCACCCAAGCGACTAGGGTGTGCTGCTCCTGCTCGTGGCGAGGGCCCAGACCGCCAGTGCTCACGGTTTTGTAGAAGGCTTTAGAGTGAATTCCCAGCACTTCGGATTTGGACACCAGGTCGTCGATCTTCTCGCCTCGCTCCAACAGGGACTCCATGGTGTTGTGCTGCAGGAGGAACAGACGGGAGGCTCTGACGGTTCACCACGAGCGGCCACAGCCCTCACCAGCCCCTCAGGGCAAGCACGTCCCCTAAGCCCTCCCCCACAGGAGCGCCCAGCACATGTCCGACATGGGCATGCACCAGGACCCGTGACCTTCCTGTGGTCTACCAGTTCTGCAGGACACAGGCGCGGACAGCCATACAGGCAGAGGTCGCTAGTGCATCTACATGGACTCCCATTGGACAGGGCACGTCCGGATTCCCTCGAGGGGGCTAGCGGTTCACAGACTCTCTCCAAGGGAGAAAGGGCCACAGCCCCGCTGCCCACTCACATCCGCCCCCTCCGTCTTCCCCAGTCCCACGGCCAGTGCCAGAGCAGCCGCCAGGCCCACTGGGCCCGGTTTCACACGTGTGAAAAGGCACAGAGTGAGGAAGGAGCGGAAAGTTCCCACCTCCACATGGGCCTCGTCACTCGGATTCCCATCACCCAAGTTAACTGGATCGCCCAACTGGCATGGCTCCATGGTTGAGTGACGGTCTATGAACCAGGAGGTCACGGTTCAAGTCCTGGTCAGAGCACATGTCCAGGTTGTGGGCTCGATCCCCAGGGTGGGGCGTGCATGGGGCAACCAATCAATTTTTCTCTCTCATCATTGATGTTTGTCTCTCTTCCCCTCTCCTTTCCTCTCCCAAATAATAAAAAAATATATTTTTTTAAAAGTTAACTGGATTAAGGTCCAGATGGAAGTAAGGCAGTGTGGCCCTTTACCCAGGTCCCCACAGCCCTCATCTCCGACTTCCTTACCAGAATTATCTTGGTCTCATCGAGTTCAGCCTGCACTTTACTCATGGGGTCAGCTTCTCGGGGATTCTAAGGAAGAGCCGAGAATAAAAACGACGTCAGGACTAGAGTGACCACCTAGAATCAAAGCTCAAAACCCATCCAGCTGGACACACGTTCACAGGCTACTTGAGCCGTGGCAGCAGTGGCAGCAACAGCCTGCTGGGCCCCCAGGTTCCAGGCCCTCGCGTAGCCCCCGAGACGCCCAGGGACCGACATCAAGGCTGTCGGGAAGTCACCGCGCCCAGCTGTCAGGCTGGGAGGTTCCTGGGGCTCCGGGACCTACCTGGTAGGTACTAAGGTAGCCATCCAGGGCTGTGTAGTGGATGTTAGCAGAAGATCCGACTGGCCAGTGGATCCTCTCCACCTGCTTGGAGAAATCGTCCAGCACCTGCAAGACAAAGTTGCTCAGCGACACTCCTGTGCTCACCGTGCCCACAGCAACAGGACTGGGCCCAAGAGGCTCTCTGGCCCCCGGGAGGGCAGAGGCAAACAGCCAACGGCAAGGGTAAGTCCAGGCGCAAGTTCCTCCTCCTCAAGTCCTCTGGGCATTCACATCCAAGTGTCTATTTGTGGGTGAGGGACAGGTATACTGCAAGGGACTGTTGGGGACTGCCAGACCAGGCTCCCCAGACTGGCAGCCTCCGCTGCTGCTGAAATCTCTCCTGGAGCAGCCGGCTCTGCTGCAGGGACCGCGCCATCTTGAAGGGGACAGTGGTGTGAGCGGAAGCCCAGTCTCACCTTTAGTCAGGGAGAACTGGATACCTCCCGGGCCCTACAACCACTACACACAGGGACCAGCTGCAAACCACAAACACTGGGTCTCAGCAGCACAGATATGCGGACTTGGACGAGCTCTGCACTTTTCACAGAAAGGTCCCATTTCAATGGGAGGAAAAAGGAGACACATACTTTAAACAATAAAAAAGTATTAGAATTTTAAACTGCAGATTCCATTTTTGCCAGGTTATGGATTTCCAGGAATCAGGGAAAATTAGTCTTCTAATTTTCCAACCAATTCTTCAAAAAGGAAAGATTTAAGCCACCACCGAATTTCATGTGCCCCTAAGTGTATCAGTCCTCTGGGGACAAGACACGACAGTGCCCTCGAGGCGTCCGTAATCAGCCCGTGTGAGGAAACCGAAGAACACGTGGTGCTGAGTCCACGCCGGGGAAGGGGCGCAGGGGTAGCTCGGTGGAGGGGAGGCAGGGATGGAGCTGGTGACACAGGCGCGAGCACAGCCACAGCTGACCCAAGGGCTCCGTCCCAGAGAAGGGAGGCGGAGACTGTGGGCAGCCTGGGGCACGAGCCTGGCACAGGGCAGGAATCGGTGCCATGGAGGAGCCTGGGGAGGGCGAGGGGAACGCTGACCACGGCTGACTGTGGACTGTGTCTCGGGCACTGTGGTCACCCAAATCCAGTCCAGCCAAGTACACACTCACCTTCTCCAGCAAGGTGAAAGCCACCCGGGACGGGTACTCGCTGTCAGCAATGACCACTCCCGCAAGGCTGTCGTTCCGCACGTAGACGTGGCACAGGTATTCTACGGAGACACACACAGGACAGGAGGGCCTTAGACTCCACCCCAAGCCGTCAACGTCTCCTGCTGGGCTCCTGCCTTTGGATCAGCGAAGCCGCTCTGCAGACCAGGCTAATGGTTCGCACACGGGACAGGACACACGCATACACAGCTCACAGGAGCATAGCCATCAGCACGGCCCTGAGGCCCAGTGTGCTAAACCAGGGTCTGAGACCACTGTTCCAGGCACAACTTGAGCTCCAGGCCCAGCCTGGCAGTGTCTTGGGGAGAGGCAGCCCCTAAGGCTCTGCTCCGAACTGAGGGAACCCTGGGCAAGCAACACAGCCTCACGTGGTTTAAAAAGCCTGTAAGAGTGGCCCCAGTCAGGAAATGAGCTCTCTGCTCCTGTCCGGCCAGCTCCATTCTGGGGAGGGAGGGAGCGAGGAGAGGGTCCACGCAGGCTGGGGTCTCCAGGGAACTGTGAGTGTCCAAGTAGCAATAGGCCAGCCTGGAGAGGGCCAACCGGACATTCACAACCCACAGAATTAATGCCTGTCACTCGGAAGGACTGCAGCTGACAAGGAAGAACCTTCTTGTCTCTAAGACTCTCAGCCAAGAGACTAGAACTAAACAAGGAGAACAAATTAAAGAGGCGAGGGGAGCCAATAGTCCCAAAATCAGAAATAGGCAGAGATGAGCCACCACAGGGATGAGGGACAGGAGCTCACTCCCACACACTCTAGCCAGCCAGCCCCAAGAAAAAGACTCAAATATGGGGACAAGCACACACCACAGAGAAGTGGGGCCAGGGTCTGAGGAAGTGTCCCTGAGAACCAAGCTACGAAGGCCAAGTTCCCCCCGAGGGGGTTGAGAATATTCAAATGCCCAGGATCCAACTGCACCGCCCGAGGTGAGCACACAGGGTCCCATAGAACACAGCCCTGGACACCGCCTGCACTGTCACTCTGGACAGAGCACCCCATACCTGGGACCCACAGTCCCAGCATCATGCAACAGCCCTTACTTCTGCCGAAGTTCACACATCCCTCCGGACGTGCCTGCAGACACTCACCCCCTGTCCACATCTAAGTACACAAGAGGCAGCAGCCCTGGACAGGGCAGGCAGGAAACCCCTTCCATGTTCTGGAAGAGGCGTCGCTACTGCTCCGAGAGACAGGCCCTAACCGGAAGCACGTCCCAGCTCTGGGGCTAACTTTACCCAGGCAGCTAGTCGCCCACACAGGGCACAGAACCGTGCAGGAGGAAGAGGAGGAGGAGGAGGGGAGAGAGGTCAGGTTGGCGAGCGGGTCCTGGCAGCCTCACCTCCTGAGGTGACGGCCACGCTCGGCTCAGGCTGCCTGTGGCATGGCGGCATGGCGGCCAGGCCAGCACACAGGCAGGGGAGAGCCCTCTTACCTTGCTCCTTGACGGACGCTCTGTTGCCTTTGGCCGAACGCTCCACAATCAGCTGGCTGGTGAAGGTCATGAATTCCTGAACACTAAGGAACAACACTCGTTACTACTCCCGTCACCTTGTCCCAGGAGACATTGCTCCTTGGTTTCCTTCTCCCCCCAACCTCACACAAATAATAAACTCTGCAAACAAACAGATCCAGAGTGTACAAATCGTCACAGCCATTCACACCATCTCTGCTCGCTCCCCAGCTCACCTCCACAGCCCCTCCAGAATGGTGGGCTGCGGTCAATTTCACACCTGGTCAGAGCATGACCTGGGATACGGGAGCTAAGCAGAAGCCAGTGCCTGTTCTCCAGGCCCCACTCACTTCCAGGAAGAGGGCAAACAGAGCCTGTTCTGGGAAAACACAAGTGGCCAGAACTGCTTGGCAGGTTCACAGCCAACATGGCTGTGGCAAACGGCTGGACCAAAGGCTTAGGAGGAGGGGGAGCTGGTCGGGGGCCACACAACGAGATTTTGGCCAATGACGACGACAGACTGCAGATCCAACAGTGGTCCAAGAACCTCCAGGAAAGTTCACAGTGAAGGGCTTAGCGGAAGCACTTGCAGGGCTCAACAAGCTCCTTAAAAAGTTGGGAAACAGCCTGGCTGGCGTGGCTGTTTTGACTAGGAGGTGATGGTTCAATTCCCGGTCAGGGCACATGTGTGGGTTGCAGGCTTGATCCCCAGTAGGGAGTGTGCAGGAGGTAGCCGATCAATTATTCTCTTTCATCACTGATGTTCTCTGTCTCTCCCCCTCCACTCTCTATGAAAATCAATGGGAAACTATCCTCAGCTGAGATTTAAAAAAGTTTGTTTATAAAGTGAAAATGTTATAAACTAAGGTTAATGTATCACTGAAGAAAAAAAATAATGCAAGCTGGTGTAGCCTTGGTGTCCAGGGTATAAAGTCCACAGCCGTGTCCAGTCATGTCCTTGGCCCTCACCTTCACTCACTACTCACCCCACCACACCCAGAGCAACGTCCAGTCCTGCAGCTCCACTCCTGGTGAGAGCGTGCGCAGGGTGCTTTTCCTCTGAGACTGTTTTCACTGCACCTTTTCATACCTCTCTCGTCAGGTGCACACACACCACTGTTCCAATGGCCTCAGTACCCAGCACAGTAACAGGCTGTGCCATGCAGCCCAGGTGAGCAGTGGGCTGCACCATCCAGGTGTAAGCGCACCCTGTATGTTCGCACAACATCACGTAATGACACGCTTCTCAATGTATCTCTGTTGTTAGGTGACACATGACTGCAATCCCTCAGATGAAGTCTCCAAATAAGAATTCTCATGGTGAGACCACAGACAGCACTTAGAGCAGGACTGTACTTAAACGAGGCAAAATTGTTTCCATTGTGAAAGCCTGCATACAAGGGCCAGACAAACTGGGAAATGGCCCTGGCCGGATTTGCTCAGTGGTTAGAGCGCCGGCCTGCAGACCAAAGGGTCTCAGTTTTGATTTCCGTCAAGGGCACGTACCTCGGCTGCAGGTTCCCCCACCCTATCGGGGGCTCATTTGGGAGGCAACCAATCCATGTTTCTCTCCCTCTAACCTAGGGGTGTCGAACTCAATCAGAGAAGGGGCCAAAATCTAAAATCCAGCCTAAATCGCGGGCTGAATGGTTTACTGAACAGTCATAAACTGTCATTGTGATGGAAACGCAGCGGAGTGCAGTGATGACAGCGCGGTGCGGGCCACATTGCAAGGCCTGGCGGGATGGATTTGGCCCGCGGGCCTTGTGTTTGACACATGTGCTCTAACCCTTCTACTGTCTCTAGAAATCAATGGGATAGTATCCTCAGGTGAGGATTAAAAAAAAAAAAAAGGCTGGGAAACTATTAGAAGGTTTCAGGCTTGGGGTCTGGCCACTGTGAGACGGGAAGGACGAAGAGGGGCCTCAGGAGAAAGACAGAGTCCAGCTGGCACGTGTGCTGTCCCTGGAAATACCCCTGCAGTTCTGCTGTTGGGCTTACCACCTGAATGGGTGTGGGCTCCCCAAGCTCCTGAGGGTCAGTCCTACCCGGGAACCCGGGACCCTTCAGTGTTCACCGCAGGGAAGTAGCATGGTGTGTGCCAGGCTGGTACAGACACAGAGAAGCCGCCGCACAGAGACGAGACCACAGACTGACCCAAAGAAAAACAAGTGTCAGTAAAATGACAGAAATTGTTTTAGATCCTGGCATCCTGCCAGCAAGCCACTCTCAAGAACCAACAGCTCCGCGGACGCAGCAGACACAGACTCCAGCTGGCAGAGGCACCAGGCCGCACACCACAGGCAGACTCTGGGGGTCCCCTCCTCCCGTGCCCGGATGGGCTGAAGTCTGTCACACTTCCAATACCACCTTTTGGCAACAAGCGCCCCAGAACCCTCCAAAGCCCACAAGTCCCCTGCTTCCTTCCAGGCCCTCAGTGAGAACCCTTTCGTACCAGGGGCCCACAATTGGGGTCCGAGTCCCGGCAGGCCGGTTTCGTGGGGCCTCAGGGACTTTATCCGTGGGAGGAGCCCGCCCGCACCTCCCCCCAATGGCTGGGGTTCACGGGTTCCCCAGACGTGGCGGGTGGGGCCTGGCGGCCCGGGGCCTGGACCAGAACCACCGAGATTCCCGGGCCTCGGCCTTCTAGTCAGACACGCAGACGTGCACCCGGGGAGCTGCCTTTTATAATTGTACTGGGCGGAAACCTGGAAAACACTGAGTTCCGGAGTGTTTTCTAGAACGGCCTCTGTCCAGCGAGAGGCTAAGGGCTCGGAACGGTCTGCGGAGCAGGGAGGAGCCACGCCCGCCTCGCCCGGACCCCCGCCCCCCATCCCGCCCCCGCCGCTGGCCCGCCCACCTGGTCCTCTGGAAGAAGCTGAAGGACGACACGTCGTAGGCGGCGCTGAGCAGCACGGCCTTGGGGTCGCCTTTGTACAGGACGCTCAGGCTGAACAGCTTCATGGCGCCGCCGGGCGCCCGCCGCCCGCCCCCGCGACCGGCGAGCAGCGAGCAGCGCGGCCGCCGCCCCTCGAGACCGCCGGCTGCTGACGGGCCGACGCGGCTTCCTCCACCCGGCTCGGTCCACTTCCGGTTCCGGTCAGGGCCGCCGGCGGAAACACGCAGGCAAGGGGCGGGGCGTGTGCGCACGCACGTGAGCCCGGCCCCGCCCCACCCGCGGGGCTGTCCCCCGGGTTCCCCCCAGCCGCCCGCGCCCCAGGACTGTCCAGGCCGGGCGATCCTTCCCCGGTGGCTGAGGCGCTGCCCCGCCCGCGGAGGCGGAGGCGGAGGCGGCAGTGCCGCGCGCCCTGGGTGAGGACACACGCTCACCCCCTGCGATGAGGGGACCCAGGGATTCCGCGCAGCTTTCACACCTGGTCTCCGAGCCCGCGGGTCCGGGATGCAGGCTGCGGGGAAGCGACGTCCTCGTCTGCGTGCTGAGCCCGGGAGTCCGGCTCCTCTGCCCCGAGCGGAGCAGCTGCCCGGGTGTGACATGACGTGACGCGGGCCCGGCCTCTCGGGTCCCCCCCTGGGCATGTCTCAGGCCGCAGAAGGCAGCTCAGAGCTCAGGCGCTGGGGCCCGGGCTGCCCACGCCCTCTCCTCGGAGGGCCTCTGCCCATGAGGGTGCGGCCCTGCCTGGGCAACTGAACAGGTGGCCAAGTCTGGTGACAAGGCCCTTGGGCTATTGCTATGGTGATGGGGATGGAGGCCTTTTGCCTTCAGCCCCAGTTTTCTGCATGGCAGCTCTAATGACCGCAGACAGCCCTGCGGAGGCCCTGCTCCTGGTTGCCATGGCAGCACAGGCCTTTTCCGGAGCAGGAGGCCCCCCTTCCCCCAGGAGAATTCCCCACCGCACACCTGGTCACCGCATACACCTGGTCACCGCATACACCTGGCCACTGCACACACCTGGTCACTGCACACCTGGCCGCAGCAGGAAGTGTTGGGTGGCAGCTGAGCTCCGGGAAGCAGGTTAGGGTGTGAGAGAAACAGTCACCTTCAGCCTAATTACTCAAATGCTGTCCCCAGCACGGAGGGGACAAAAGCTTTTCTGCTGAGTCGGCCTGGAGGCTGACAGCTCGGTGCAGCCTGAGAGAGCCGAGCAGCCAAACCCGGCGATGGCCCTGCCGCAGCCACACCAGGCCTGACCAGGCCTCTGTGGGGAAGGGTCCCAGGTGTGGCCCTGAACACCAGGCTCGTGGGCTTTCTGGGAACAATGAAAAGGAGGAAACTGTGACTGGAGCTCCAGCCGGAACCCAGCCGAAGAGGGACCATAGCTGCCCAGGAGCCCAGGGCCAGCCAGCCCCTGGTGGGAGACGCTTCGGACAGTCCGTTTCCGGAAACCTGTTGGGAGTGGCGGAGGGGTCCCAGCCCCCAGGAGCGGGCTGTGGCGCCGATGCCGGATGACGGTGCTGGGATGGAGACCGCCAAGAAGGAAAAGGTAGCTCTGCCGCCTCTGGCTCTGGAAGCTTCTGTCCAGGGTCCCCGCACCCAGGGGTGGGTTTAGCTCGGACACACGCCTGCCGCTCAGAGTCTGACTGGTGCTCAGGCTCCGTAGGGAAGCCCTGCTGGGAGGGGGTCCCCTGCTGGGAGGGGTCCTGGGTGCCCGCTGTGCTGGCAGAAAGACCTTCCTCCCAGCAGACCAGGCCCCTCCCTGCCTCAGACCCCAGCCCGTGGCCTGGAAGGTGGGCGGCCAGGAGATCCGGGACTGATGTTGGCTGGAGGTCTGGGGAGTTTAGAGCCTGGGGTCTCAGACCTGGGACAATGCTCAGCAGACTCCATGACAGGTCTCCGGTGCCCACACTCCTCGTCCTCCAAGGAATCGCTTCCTGGGGAGCCTGAGGGCCGTTCCTGCCCCCGGAGGAGCGGAGATCAGTTGCTTTTTCCAAAACAGAGATCCAGACCACATAGTGAGCAAAGACAAGGGCAGGCCCCAGGGCAAGGGCCGGCTGGGGCGCAGTGGGGCCCGGGAGAGGCCTGGGCCTTCCCTGCGACATGATTCTCACCTCACACGCCTCCTCCTCCTGCGAAACAACAAGGTCAGCACAAACAGCGCTGCTTCTGCTGCTGGCAGAGCTGATGATGTCAGGAGAAAACAGCCAGCCCAGGCAGGCGCCCGGCCAGGCCGCCAGGCGGGCAGAGAGCTGCCCGCACCACCCTGCGGGCAGGGTTTGGAGACAGCCCGGCGGCCGCTGGAGGAATGGGGGTGGGTGTCTGACGAGCAGAGATGGTGGGGCAGCGTGTGAGGGGCCGTGGCTGCCGTGGGGAACCCATTCCCAGCTTTGGGCTGGCCCCTGTCCCTTCCTGTGTGTCCAGGAGACGCGGGGCTCCACGGGCAGACCGTCTCTGCTCCCAAGGGAGGGATGCAGGTCCCAGCCGGGAGCCGGGCTGCCTGCAGCGGCCAAGGGTCACGACACCCTGGTCCGGGCTGAGCAGAGTGAGGCACATGCTTCAGCGAGGCAACCAAAGCATCCATCATCGAGATAAATGCCATTTTAATGCAAGAAATTGTGCTTCAAAGGGAACCTACGTGCTGCCGGTTTCTCGTCCGCGTCTGGTTCCTCTCGCCGGCACTGACCTCCAGGCCTTATCTGTGGTCACCCTTCTGTAACCTGCAGAGCTGCGTGGACACAGGCTTTCCCAATAGATGTCAGCTCCGAGCAGTTTCTAGAACTACTCGGGGGCAGGTCTGCGTCCACTGATGCTGTCCTAAAACTGGGCCCTGGGAACCCCTTGTGATCCTGTTCCATACTCCCCAACCCTCACTGGACCCTCATCTGGCCCAACCTGCCCACGATACCTGAAGCCTGGGAGACAGGGGCTTCAAAGTGTGTCCAGCTGGCCGTGTGTGAGTTGGCTCCGGCAGCGAACACAATAGCTCTGGAGTGGGAGTCTGACCGAGACCAGGGCCAGAGTGACCGGTCCTGGTGTGGCCTCTTCCGGGCATTTCCGGCTGTCCTCCTGGGGGGTGCAGTGAGGGGAATGAGGGGCGGCAGCTCTTTGTCTTCTCAGAAGGACACTAATCTCTTCTAGGGGCCCCACCCTCATGACCTCTTCTAACCCCAATCCCTTTCCAAAGCCTCACCTGCAAATCCCGTCACATTGGGGTTAAGGCTTCGACCTGGATTTGGACACACAATTCGATCTGAGCATGGGCCAGGGGACAGCCTGGGAGGAGCTGACGGCCCTCCATTCTGGCCTCAGGCTGCCGGCACTTGGCCCCCAGGAAGAAGGAGGCTCAGCAATGGGGTGAGGCCCTGTGCTGCCCTGCTTCTCGCTTCTGCAGGAAGGCCAGCAGGTGTGATGGGACGGGGCCGGCTCGGGGAGGAGTGGGAGAAGGCCCTGAGTATGGGGTCAGGCTCCATACTTGGTGAAACCCCAGGAGCAGGGCAGGAGCAGGTCAGCCAGTTTGCACAGGCCCATGGTACCTGCCCACCCTCCCCGCTGAGCAGGCTGCTGGAGGTCACAGCCTCTGACCACCCACCGGGTGGTGGTGAAGGTCTGGGTGGGCCCAGCTGACCCACCCCTGCCCCTGAGAGGAAAGGCGTGGAAGGAGATACAGAAGCCCCTTGTGAGCATCCCAAAGAGCAGAACTGACCCAGCCCAGGGGAGAGAAGGCTCCATCTCCACGTCCAGCACCTGCACCACGCTGGGCGGCCCTCCCCGTTCCCAGCACAGCAACCTTCGGAAAGCAAGTCCCTCCAGACCTCAGCGCCCCCTCTGGAAAGGCCCCGGCTGCTGTGTGGGCGAGACCCCAGCATGCTGGCAGCGAGCCCGGGCCCCTGCCACAGAAGGCTGCCCTGGCACGGAAGTGCTGGGAAGCCCTGGGCAGAGGAAGAGAATGGATTTCACGCCACCACGACACACCCCTTTCCAGAACACACAGAACACCCCCCCCTCCTGCCCCACTGGCCCTTCCTGCCCTGACGTTCGCCACAGACAGGCTCCGGGGAGCCACATCACAGGCAGCAGGTGTGCCCTGCGTTCTACCCATTGTCTCCTGGACTTGGGCAGAGAGAACCTGGGGCAGTGCCCTCCCAGCGGGAGGACCCCAGGCCCCTTTCCGGGCACACAGGCAGGCAGGCATGCCTGGGGAGCACCCCTTCTCCCCGTCCCTGCAGCCCCAGGCTCGCCAGCAGGCGTGGTGTCCCTGAAGGAGCTAGGAGAAGCGTGAATGCACAACATGGCAAAGAAAACGGCAATGAGGGCCGTGGCTGTGGCTGTCGGGAGAGCCCAGGCTGGCCGTGGCTCTGTGATAACTCCTCCTGGTGCAGCAAGAGGCTTGGGGATCCATTCCGGTCCGGCCACACACCTAGGCCGGGTTCCCTCCCCACGGGCACGCACAGGAGGCACCTGTGGGCCTCCCTCCCTCCCCCTCCCTCCCCCTCCCCCTCCCCCTCCCCCTCCCCCTCTCCCTCCCCCTCTTCCTCCCCCTCCCTCTCCCCCTCCCTCTCTCCCTCTCCCTCTCTCTCTCTCTCTCTCTCTCTCTCTCTCTCTCTCTCTCATTGACCACGTCCTTAGGTGAGGATAAAAGGACAGCCCCCAGAGGCCCGCTGGTGGGCAGGCGGAGATTTCAGTTGGTTACGAAGAAGAGGTGGGTGTTTCCCTAAACACACACACAGTCTTCACTCAGCTTCTGGCCAATGTATCGCCTGTTAGTTACTTAGAACCTAGAACGGAGAGAAGGAATACAGGAGCAGAGCTCTGGTTTTCCAGTAACCAAGCCCGAGCCCCTGCCCACAGGGAAGAGGCCCATGGTACGCTCAGCAGGTGCCTGGCACCCCTGCCCCTCCTGTGCCCAGCCCCCTCTGTGCCTGGAACCACCCCACCCCCACCCCGCCCCCTGCCAAGGCCAGGCCAGGCCCATGGCAGAAGGATGGGCACTCCTGAGCTCCCAGTAGAGCCGCAGGATGAAAGCTATTGGCAGGGAGTCCTATACCTGGGTCCCTCGAGGCCCCAGCCCCCACCGCTCAGGACTTCCCTGTCTCCGAGCTCCTGGGCACAGCAGGGTCCAGGGTCCAATAGCCAACTTTGCAAATGGCCTCCATCCTGTGGCTGGAGGCCGAGGAAGCTCCACACCTGCTGCCATGCTCGGCCACCCAGGCCAGTGCCCTTCGCTCCCTCCGCTGGCCTCTTGGCCATGAAGATGCTGCCCACCTACATGCAAGCCACCCCTGAGGGCTGTCAGGGTGCCGCCTGGTGTCCCTGCCTGGTGTCCCGCGAGCTCTCAGGGGTGTAGGCTGCAGGGCCGAGGGGGGCGGGCAGAGGAAAGGAACCGGTCACCATCGTCTGTACCTGTGCCTTCGCCTGCTGCTCTCGCCCTCGGCCGGCCCACGCGTTTGCTCTTGTGAAAGAACGGGTGTGGGGTTCGTTCACGAGGTCACTTGTTTCACGTGTGCTTTCTGTGTGATTCGTTTCCGAGTTTGTCATCCCTGACTCTTCCACCCCATTCCCCGGGGTGCCCTGTATCCCTGGCGTGTTGGGGTTTGGCCTCTTGGGAGCCTGCTCTGCTGTTATTTGGCTGCGCTCTCCGAGGGGTGCCTGCTCCTGGGAGCCCTGCTCCGGTGGGAGCCACACGTCGTGTATTTGGTGCCGTCATCGTTCCTCGTCTGTGAAGGGTCTGCCCTCCAGCCCGATGCCCTCCTCAGCCCAGACCCTGCTGACCACAGCCCTGTGCCTGTGTCCTGCTTAGGCCCTCTGCCCCCTGTCCCTCTGCCCTTGTTTCCCTCTCTCCCTCCCTTCCATTCTCTCTAAAAATCAATGGAAAAAATATCCTAGGGTGAGGATCAGCAACCACAACAGACAGATAGAGAAGCAGAGTGGTGGGCGTGGGCCGAGGCACCTGCCTTCCTGCGAGCCAGGGGCTGCAGGCTGCGCCTGGCCTGCCAACACCGGTGCTCGGAGCTGCACGTTTGCTCGTAGACGCAGCCAGCCGTCCCTCTGTGACCGTCCTTCTGTGGCCGCCCCTCTGTGGCCGTCCCCGGGTCCACAGCTTCCGTCTGGATAAGCCGCATGGTTCCTGCATTAGGACCTGCACCCGTCAGGAGCGCTCCAGGCTGCAGGAAACCCGGGATCTGGTGTCGGTGTGCGCTCCCCTGGCCGGCGCCTGGGGTCGGTGTCTGGGGTGACCTCAGTGATGTCACCAGGGCTGCCTCTCCTCCCATCTGTGGTTTGCGGGCAGCTTTCCCTTTCGCTGGGCTCCTCACGGTTGTGGGACAGCTGCTGCCGGTGGCCGCACACCTCCCAGCTGTGTTCACAGCCTCGGGGCATGTACCTTCCCAGAGGCCCCCTGCTAACCCGGCTTCCTTCGCCCGCCATCGGCCACGGGCTTAGCCCAGTCACCGGCCGGTCCCTGCCTGGCGAGGGACGGCCTTCCTTCAGTGCCACTCCCTACCCTGGCTGGATTCCCGATGCCCAGCTTTTATCCAGGATCTTTCCTTCCCTTTGGGTCCAGACGGCCAGTGCATCTGAGCGGCCTCCTCCGCAGGGATGGCCTCCTCCTCGCACAGCAGAGTGAGGTCCGGTCACGGGCACACGGGCACGGCAGCTGGTTCGGGAAGGGCCGGCCACGCCCCAGGAGGTTCAGAAGGAGACCCCTCCAGGCCATCGCACTCACAGAGAAGGTGGCGCTGGCTGCACAGGCCTCGCTTCTGTCCATGCATGGGGGTCCCCGTGGCCGCAGAGCCTTCCACCTTGAACAGCAGCTCTCTCAGCTGACCTAACGGTCCCTCTGGCCGGGGTGCACGTGGAGCATCCACGCCCTTAGCCTCAGCTGGAGCGGGAGCACTGCGCCCTCTGCCCTGCGCCCTTCCAACAGGCTGTCTTGGCCTCCCGCTCAGCGCCTTCTCCCACGTCTGCCCTCTGCCCTCACCCTGGATCCCAGCCCATCCGGGAGGCTGGTCTTGGAACTCTTGTTCTAACTGCTCAGCTGGTGATTTGAGTCGTCACCCAGACCAGGGCAGAGAGCAAAGGGGACCCTCGTGAGGGTGGGGAACGCTGGCCTCAGCCTCCTGCTCCCCCTGCAGGCCGAGCAGATCCTGGCGGAGTTCCGGCTGCAGGAGGAGGACTTGAAGAAGGTGATGAGGCGGATGCAGAAGGAGATGGACCGCGGCCTGAGGCTGGAGACTCACCAGGAGGCCAGCGTGAAGATGCTGCCCACCTACGTGCGCTCCACCCCCGAAGGCTCAGGTACTGCCAGGGCCGGGGTGGCCGCCCTGCGGGGCAGCTGTCCCCAGGCCCTCCCAGGGCTCTGCCCCCGCAGCCTGGAATCAGGCCCCGGAGGCTGGGCCCCAGGCAGGCCGATCTCACGTGGCGGCAGGCTCACCGTGGCCTCATGAATGGGCTGTTCCCGTCTCATTGGGAGAGTACTCCCTGAGGTCACTCGCCCCCTCCCCGCCCCCAGTCCTGAGTCTGGGCCATTTCACTAGTTTTTCAGTTGCGCTCTGGACTGGGGGTGACTTCAGTTCAAGGCAGGGGGTTCCCATGGACTTCCCAGTTCACCTTTGACCCCTCCCCATTGAAAGTGGTGTCCTCAGACGTCCGGCAGGGGCCCCTTGTCCGTGCCTCTGGCCTCCTGCCTTCCCTCTTTCTCTCCCTGTGGCTGCAGAAGTCGGGGACTTCCTCTCGCTGGACCTGGGTGGCACCAACTTCCGGGTGATGCTGGTGAAGGTGGGGGAGGGGGAGGCCGGCCACTGGAGCGTGAAGACCAAGCACCAGATGTACTGCATCCCCGAGGACGCCATGACGGGCACCGCAGAGATGGTGAGCGGGCCTCGGGCTCTGGTCCTGGAGGGTGGGCCCTCCCCCTGGGTGAGCTCACCTGTCCACCTGGGGGCCCACCTGTCCACCTGGGAAGGGCTGGGGATTCCCAGGGGGCTGGGGTTTCCCTCGGGGATTCCCCGAGGGCTGGGGCGAGTACGGGCTCTGGTGGAGGAGACGGGCTGCCCCGCCCACCGCTGTGGCCACGGGCTTCCAGCTCTTCGACTACATTTCCGAGTGCATCTCCGACTTCCTGGACAAGCACCAGATGAAGCACAAGAAGCTGCCCCTGGGCTTCACATTCTCCTTCCCCGTGAGGCATGAAGACATCGACAAGGTGGGCCCAGGGCTGGGCAAAAGGACAGCAGGCGGGCAGACAGATGGAGGGATGGATGGACAGACAGACAGACAGAGGGACAGACAGACGGAGGGACGGGCAGACGGACGGAGGGACGCACATGCACCGGGAGGGAGCCCCCCCCCCTCACTGGGAACCCTGTGCTGGGCTGAGTGTGTGAGCGGAGGCTGAACCCTGCCTTCGAGCCCAGCAGTTACACACATGCCAACTACACATGCACACAGCATCCGTTGTGTGCACACCGTACCTTTACGTGTTTTTGCATGCATCAAGCACACACATGTCTGACACGAAACCCTGTGTACAACAATAGCAGGAGCGCCTTCCCGCACAGGTTTTACAGCCCCGACCCCACCGCACTGAACACAGGGCTCCCTCGCCTGCAGGGGGCACCAGGAGGACCTGCTCACCCAGACCCCCACCCCACTCTGGGAGACACCTCTGGGCATTACTACACAAACAGCTCAAATTGCCGGCCCGTCTGCAGGAACGAGAACAGCTGTGTGGCCGTCAAACCTCTCAGTCTGCTCCCCCGCAAGTGGGGTCTGGGGTCCGAGTAGCTCCCCTCACACCCTCCCAGCACCTCAGCGATCACCTCTGTCCCCCACCTCCCCCAGGGCATCCTGCTCAACTGGACCAAGGGCTTCAAGGCCTCGGGGGCGGAAGGGAACAACGTCGTGGGACTGCTGCGAGACGCCATCAAGCGGAGAGGGGTGAGGAGGCCCTCGGCCCCGCCCCTCAGGCCAGGACGGCAGGGAGGGCCTCTGGGCCCCTCCTTGGTGGGCCGGCTAGGACCCCAGCCCAGCCCCACCCCCTGCGCTCTTGGCAGGACTTTGAGATGGACGTGGTGGCGATGGTGAACGACACGGTGGCCACCATGATCTCCTGCTACTACGAAGACCGCCAGTGTGAGGTTGGCATGATTGTGGGTAAGGACCACGCCCCGCCCTGTCCAGGAGCCTGGGCCTCGGGCCTGAGGAGTGAGGGCCACAGTCAGTGCGGGCCTGTGCACCCGGGGCGGGCTTGGGGAGGGGCGGGGGCACCCCAGATGCAGGCTCTGTCCTGATAGAGGCGTTCACACTGCAGTCACTGCGTCGGGTGGCACGCGGGCTGCACCTGCCCCTGCCATCAGGTTCAATTAAAGCACTTTATCTGGTTAATTGACCAAACTAGACAGGTTTGTCCATGTGGAAGGGAATAAGCAAACGTGCCGTCACCTCTTCCTGGAAGTGTACCCCGGGCCAGCCGGAGCAGAGGCTGAGCTGGCCCGGGGGCTCCCTGCAAATCCCAGAGCCGGTCCCACACTGTGCCTTACCTCAGGGTGCCCCCCCCAAAAATAAATAAATAAATAAAACAGAGCCCAAGACAGAGAGCTTAAATGCATGAATGGAAAAAGCCAGAAAGCAAGGTGGAGCATAGACAAAACCATAGCATCCAACTCCCGTCTCTGTTTTGCACATTTGACACATTTCTCTCAATCCTCCCAACACCCGGATAAGGGGAGGAGGAGGGTTACCATCCCCTGCGGGGAGAGGACGGCCTTGAGGGGTGGGTTCCCCATCTGAGATCACACAGCGACCAGGCCTGTGGGGGCACAGAAGCCTGCCCTGGGCTTCCTGCGGGCGGGGCAGGGGAAGCAGGGCACCCAGGAGAGGCGGTGGGGCGGGGCGCCCAGGAGGGGGGCTGGGGTGGGACGGGTAGGGGCGGAGGCTGGGGAAGCCCAGCCCCTGTGGGTCCCGTGGGTCGGACGCTGCCGCCCCGCAGGCACCGGCTGCAACGCCTGCTACATGGAGGAGATGCACAACGTGGAGCTGGTGGAGGGCGAGGAGGGCCGCATGTGCGTCAACACGGAGTGGGGCGCCTTCGGGGACGCGGGCGAGCTGGACGAGTTCCTGCTGGAGTACGACCGCGCCGTGGACGAGAGCTCGCTGAACCCGGGCCAGCAGCTGTGAGAGCGCCCGGCGGGGAGGGGGCTTGTTTCTAACGGGGCTGGGAGGGCAGCGCATCCGGCTGCGCGCGAGCCGGGCCGCTCAGTGAACCAGCCCCGGAGCGTCCGGTGCTGGGAACGGGGGCTGTGGATGGACGAGCCGGGGCCCTCTCCTGGGTCTGAGATGCCCCTGCCACGCGGGCAGTTTAACCAGAGTCCCCAGAGCCAGGTCTGCCCACTGCACAGCACGATGCGCAGGGCACCGCGGGCACCCGGGACCCCTCCTGTGCCAGGCCCGCTGTGTCTGTGCCGGTCCCAGGAGGAAACACGGAGGCTCACGGTGGGGACGCAGGTGCCGGCGCCGCGCGGGGCCCTGAGCCTCCGCTCCCCTCTGGGCCTAGGCGGGGAGAACAGCACCCGCCTCCTGGAGGGGGGGGGCGTGGACCCCAGGTCCGCTCAGGCCGCTCGCAAGGCTGGACCCAGGGCCCAGGGCCCGGTTAGCGGATTGGGAGCGGGAGCCGGGTTTGCAGGCGTCGCGGCGGCGCGTGGCCGCCAGGGGACGCCGTGCCCGCCCACGGCCGCCCACGCCCGCCCCCGCAGGTACGAGAAGCTCATCGGCGGCAAGTACATGGGCGAGCTGGTGCGGCTGGTGCTGCTGCGGCTGGTGGACGAGGACCTGCTCTTCCGCGGGGAGGCCTCGGAGCAGCTGCGCACGCGCGGCGCCTTCGAGACGCGCTTCGTGTCGCAGGTGGAGAGGTGCGCGGGGCGGGGGTCTCGGCCCAGGGCCTCCGGGCAGCGGACCCTCCCGTGTGTCCCTTCCGCGGCTCCGGTCTCTCTCCCTCCACGCCACAGCGGCAGGCCCTGGGCTTAAGGGGAGCAATGACCCGGTCAGTGCCCGTCGCTGGCCGAACTGAGTCTTTCCAAGCCCCGGCCCTGAGCCCCAAGCGCTCTGCCCGGACAGGGAGGGGAGGGGGGGGCGGGGAGGGAGGGGAGGGGCCGGGCCCGGTGCGTGACAGGCTGCCCTTCGCCCCCTCCCGCCACAGCGACTCGGGCGACCGCAAGCAGATCTACAACATCCTGCGCACACTGGGGCTGCGGCCCTCCGCCGCCGACTGCGACCTGGTGCGCCGCGCGTGCGAGAGCGTGTCCACGCGCGCCGCGCACATGTGCTCCGCGGGGCTGGCCGCCGTCATCAACCGCATGCGCGAGAGCCGCAGCGAGGACGTGATGCGCATCACCGTGGGCGTGGACGGCTCCGTGTACAAGCTGCACCCGAGGTGAGCGCGCCCAGCCCGGTCCGGCCCAAACCCGGCCCGGCCCGGCCCCGCCTGGCGAGCGTCCTCTGCCGGGGCCCCATCCCCAACTCCACCCAGGAAACAGGGGGCCCAGCTCTCCTGCTGCTCATGGTCCAGGGGTCTTCCCTCATCTTCCCCTCATCTTCCCGCAGGCCCCGGGGGCAGGGCAGGCCCCGGGACAGGGCAGGGAGTGGGAGGCACAGCAGGTGGCCCTCAGCCAGGCCTCCTCCCACTCAGCTTCAAGGAGCGGTTCCACGCCAGCGTGCGCAGGCTGACCCCCAGCTGCGAGATCACCTTCATCCAGTCGGAGGACGGCAGCGGCCGCGGGGCCGCGCTGGTCTCCGCGGCGGCCTGCAAGAAGGCGTACATGCTGGGCCAGTGACAGCCGCCAGGCCCGGAGGAGGCTCCAGGGGACAGACCCCCCAGGCGCCCCGGCCTGGCCTGCCTTCCCACCCTGCCGCCTGGAGACCGGGGAGACTCCAAGGAGAAGGCCTGTCTGACAGGCCGGTCTTCCTGAGCCAGTGGAGGGACCGCCCCGGGCCCTGCCTGGGTTGGGGGCTCCAGGAGCAGAAGTGGGGATTCCCAGTCTCCTGTCTTTCTGCTGGAATCACCCCCTGAGGGATGTAGCGGGAGCTTTCGGCCACTCTGGGAAGGGGTGCCCAGTGGACCTGCTGTGGCCTGGCTCCCTGGGACTCAGCCCACATGGGGAGGCAGCCAGGGATCTGGCCTCCACCGGGCTCCACAGTGGGCAGGGCTGCTGACCACCAGGCCTGGTGGGCTTCTCTGCCTGGAGCCGGGAGAGAGGGGCAGGGACCAGCTCAGTGTGGGGACCGAGCACCAGGCGGCCGGGGACGCAGCCTCTCCCACCCACACCGCCTCTCCACAGGAGGCACAAGAGCACCCCACAGCCCCTGCCAAGGCCCCAGGAAGAGGACCCCCCGGGCTGCCACACGGCAGCACTCAGCACAGCCTCTTCGGGCCCCACGTGGGACTGGGTGGCTTTTTAATTAAAAGTTCTGAACATTTAGAGCACGGTCTTGTCCGCGTTCTTTGACTTCTGTGCATAAGGGCTGTGGGACAGTGTGCAGACATGTCGCCTGTGCAGACACTGATGTTATTTCCTCCGGCCAGCAATGGGGGAGGAGGGGACAGGACAGAACTCGGAGCAACAGACCAGCTGTGGGAGCAGGACTGGGGGCCGTCGGGTGGTGTCAGAGGTCCTAGTCGTGCCCGCCTCGCCTGCCCGTGGGATTTGGGTGTGGATGCCCTGATCAGATCTCCAGGAGGGGGTCCCTCCGTCTCACACCCAAACCCACTTACACGGAAACACACCTGTGAGATTTCCAGCGAGAGGAAGCCCCGAGCAAATCCTGTGACCTTCTTCATTCCGAACTTAATGAACGATGTGTGAGTAGGCCGACCCAGAGCCGTCCTCCGTGTCCCTGGTCTCAGGCGCACGGCTCCGGGCCGCTAGTTCTCTGGCATCTGAATGACGCACCAGCGTCTTGGAGCTGTGACGTCACTCCCTGTTACGTCACTCCAGTGCTGACGCACTCGCGTGCCAGGCCCAGAGCCCCGCTCGCATCGGGTCCCCTTCAGTGGAAATCACTTGCTAGTTGTCCTGAGGCCACGGTTCAGGGCACGGTACTGGTTTTTCTGTGTGAACTTCGCTTCAGGGGTGGGAAGAAGGTGTCTGAAAATATTCCCTTTTCCACAAAAGCAGGGAGAGACCTGCTCCACAGCCGGGCCGCCTGCATGTCTTGCCCCATCCAGCAGGGGGCAGCAGGGCCACTCCTGCTCCAGGTCTCTGGCTTCCCATGCCTTCTTGGCCCCGCCCCTCACTCAGCATTGAGCATCTGGGGCTCATGACCCACTTTCATGGGGGGAGGAGGGAGGTGACGGGTCCAGGCTGTGCTCCTGCTCCGAGTGCCTCCCATGAGGTGCTGTTTGTGGTCAGAGCCAGAGGCCAGGGCCAAGCTTCAGCACCGAGGCCTGGGAGTCCCTGGGGGTCCTGGCCAGAGACCACCACTGCCCTCCCGGCCCCCAGGCAGGCCTCCCCTCCCCCCACGGTCCTCTTGGACCGGGCAGGTCTGGGGCAGACTGCAGGAGGGACAGTCAGAGGGAGGGGCCGGGCCCACGAGTTACGTGAGTGGTGACAGCCCAGAGCTCCCTGCTCTCTGCTCTCAGAGGCCTGAGCCCGCGCCTCCGGATGGCGGGTGTGGACACCCGGTGTTACATGTCAGGGCCTGAGGGTCACTGGAATGTGGCTGGAATCTGGGGCCCTGTCCTCCCCCGGCCCAGGCAGGGGCTGCCAAGTTTGGGTCTGTCCGCTCTCCTCTCCTTATTTGGTGCTGCAGGTGATAAGGCTGAGACATAAGGGAGGCTGCGGCCCCCCAGCCACCAGGCTGACACCGAGAGAGGATGGTGAGGGCAGGGGGGGCCAGGGCAGAGCACCCTGGGGCTGTCCTTGGGATGGGAGGGCAGGGCAGCGACTCCTGTGCCTCCAGGGGTGGGGAGAGCACCCTGACCCTGGCTCTCCTGGGAATGCTCTGGGTGTGCACGGGGAACCTTGGAGAGGACCCCTCCCCTCCCACACTCTTGCAGGCCAGCAGGAAGGCGGGGACCCGGGGCAAGGCCGCGGCCACCAAGCAGGCCCAGCGAGGCTCTTCCAACGTCTTCTCCATGTTCGAGCAGGCCCAGATCCAGGAGTTCAAGGAGGTGAGTGGCCCGCCCCCGCACCCCTCCCCTGGAGGTGGCCCTGGCCCCTGGCCCTGCTCTTCCCACACCCAGCACACCCGCACTGCCCCCCCACACACACCTGGGGTAGGGGCTGCCCCACCTGAAGACTTCGGCCCCCACCCTAGGCCTTCAGCTGCATCGACCAGAACCGTGACGGCATCATCTGCAAGTCGGACCTCCGGGAGACCTATTCCCAGCTGGGTGCGCACCCCCACCCCCAGCCTGAGCCCCCCTCCCCCCTGTTCACTTGGGAGCCCGCTGAGGGGAACAGGTCTCCTCCTCCCCTCACTCCCACCTCCCCCACCGCCCCGGCTGGGAAGGAGGGAGGGCAGCCTGGTCCCTGCTGGGACACCCGGTCCCTGTGTCCCCCCCCAGGGAAGGTGAGCGTCCCCGAGGAGGAGCTGGACGCCATGCTGCAGGAGGGGAAGGGCCCCATCAACTTCACCGTCTTCCTCTCGCTCTTCGGGGAGAAGCTCAATGGTGAGCCAGCCGGTCAGGGTCCCAGTAGGCAGTGAGCTTGAACCCCCACCACCCCACCTGACCCCACCCAAACCCCATCCAGACCCAACGTGTCTTCAGTCTCCGCGCCCAGACCCCCATCTCCCTCCAGACCCGTCCACCTGCTTCTTCCACCGTGGCCTCTCTGAGCCTCAGGGACACCCGCCTCGTCTGGGGTGTGGAGGGCTCCCAGCACCCTGCTTCCTCCTGGGGGAGCCGGGAGGCTGGGCCATGGGTGCTCACCCAGCCCCTCTGCCTCCCAGGAACCGACCCCGAGGAAGCCATCCTGAGCGCCTTCCGAATGTTCGACCCCAGCGGCAAGGGCGTGGTGAACAAGGACGAGTAAGTGGGAGCTGGCCGGGCTGTGGGGAGGCCCCTGGGGGGACCGCCTCATCGGAGGCCCTCTCTGCTCTCTGGGCCACGGGGGCCTTCACGCCGGGCCTGTGCGGCCACCCCAGGCTCCCCTGGCTCCTCCTCCCACCCCTCAGGTTCAAGCAGCTGCTCCTGACCCAGGCAGACAAGTTCTCTCAGGCCGAGGTGAGGACGCCTCCTTTGTGGGGATCATCACCCCAGGGGCCCCAGGGCGCCTCCGGGGCACTGTCTTCTGGAGCCCCGCTCTCCAGAGGAGGTGTCACCCTGCTGAGGCCCTGAGGGTGAAGATTGTGTAGTCCACAGGGAGGGGGTGTGCCAGGCCAGGGGAGCCCAGTGTGCGGGGCTGAGGGGGGCACCGGCGGTCTCTGGAGAAGGGCTCCCTGGGGGTGGAGGTGGCACAGAGAGGGGTGTCTGGGGCCAGAGGGGTCTATTTGACCCATGGCCCCTTAGGGGCCTGCCTCTCCCAGGCTGCCCAGAGTCAGACAACAGGAAATGCAGCTCCGAGTGTGGGTTTGGGCCCAACAAGGCGGAAGACTGAGGCTTGCCCTCCTCCCTCGCCACTGGGCTCTCCCTCCCTCCAGGTGGAGCAGATGTTCGCCCTGACGCCCCTGGACGTGGCAGGGGACATTGACTACAAGTCTCTGTGCTACATCATCACCCACGGGGACGAGAAGGAGGAGTGACGAGGCTGCTCAAGACTCAGAGCCACGCTCCAGCACCCAATAAACGCCATTTCCAAGGAGCCCTGTGTGGTGGCCTCTCTGTGACAGGGGTGTGTGTGTGTGTGTGTGTGTGCGCGCGCGCGCTCCTCTCTGGGCAGGGGGGGGGGGGAGGGGAGCTGAGTTTCAGATGCAGGGACCACCAGCCCCTCATTTCTCCCCACACTGCCCAGTTGATGGATGGGGACACGGGCCTGAGAGGGCGGGGGACCTTTAGCTTGCCTAAGGCCTCTGGTCTGGCCGGCTCTGCCGAGGCATCAGGGGGAGTTGTTACATGTTTGACCCGAAGGAGCCACCTAAGTTTGAAGTGGGTAATCCTATAGGGCCCTCGAACGATGTTATAAATATCCACTGGCCGTGGCAGAGAATAGGTTCCCACCCCTGCGCTGGGCCCGGCCCACCAGCGCTCAGTTCCACCGGCTCTGCCCTCCTGGGCCACGTAGCACACGGCCCCGTCTCTGCACACGTGTGTGGTGTGCTGGGCCGTGTGAAAGGCCCTGAGGAACCCATCTGAAAACAACCAGACTTCACTTGGACCTGCAGGGGAGGTGCCATGATCCCCGAGGGGTCGGGACCTGCAGGGGAAATGCTGGGGCCTGGCTGCAGGCTCAGAGTTAAGGACTGGGTGGCTGCAGAGGCCTCAGTGTCCCATCACCCACCTCACCTGTCCTGGGTGCTGGAGAGCAAGAACACCCCCCCTGAAGTGCCCATGGGGAAGAGGAGGGAGGGGTACTTGCCAGAGTGAGCAGAGTCCTGGTCTAGACAAGGACAGCTGAGCCGGCCTCCTGCCCCCCAACACCCCTCACCCAGCAGGACGGACTCACCCCATCCTGGAGGGCAGGCATTTGTGGGAGAGGTGCTGTTTCTGCACTGTCCCCCCTCTCGTTCGGTTTACTGGAGAAACAGTAAGAAAAGCTACAACGCGGGGAAGGCCGACACCCTTTCCCACCAGGCTGGACGGAGCAGGGTTCTTCCCTCGGCCCCACCCACCCGCCCGTCCACATCAGTCACGTTGGGGCTCTCCGACTGGGGTCCGGCGGAGAGGGAGTCGGAGGAGCGTGGAGCCTGACTCTGGCCTCCTGAGTCCCAGAGAGGAGACCGAGCTGTGGCTGCCCCGAGGGCTCAGCTACTCACTGACACTGGAGTCTGGAAGTTATCAGGCTCTTGTTCACCAGTGGTCACAAAAGTCTTGGTCCAGAGACACCCCCCCCGGCCCCTGAGAGGTGTCCCTGCCTGGGTCCCACCCTGGGACTGGGTCCGGGATGCCCGTGCCCAGCTCCTGGGGACTCCTGGCTCTTGCCTGCTCCTCTGCAGGGGCTCACATTCAGCCCAAGGGTTTGCCGGGGCCCCCGTCTGTCCCAGGCTCCAACCCAAACCCTGCTGCGACCCCCACCCCCTGCAGGCCCCGGGGTCCCAGGGGCAGCACGGCCTCCCTGGGGGCTGCTGGACACGCAGAAGCTCGGGGCCCAGGAAACAGGCCTCGGGGCGCACTGGAGCGGGCAGGCCGCGGTGCCCGGCGGTGCCCGGAGAGAGGAGGCAACGTGCCTTTCCCCGGGCAGTGCCGGTGGGAAACCGTAATCCCACGGCTTTCCACCTCCCTCTCCGTGTGGGAAACTCTGAAGTTTTACAGCCACGACCGTGCCGGGGCTGGCCCTCCTCGGAAGGTCCGGCCCAGCTCCCAGTTCCTGACTCAGGCCCCAGCCCGCGTGTGAGGAGGGTTTTCCTCTCGGTCACGGAGATGAGCTGCCCGGAGGAGGATGGGGCAGGCAGGTCTGGGGCGTCTCCTGAGCGTGGCCGGCGTGCGCGCCCCATTCCTCCGTGTTGTGTGGTGAGGAGCACCCGGGCAGCTGAATGCTCGTTAACCACAAGTCAGTCTCCTTCCCGTCCTGGTGGGGAAAGGCTGTCTGTGTGACTAGCTTCCCCCCAAGGCCTAGAGCTCCCTCCACCGGAGCCTCAACCGCGCCCCAGGGACTGGCTCCGCGGCATCACAGTCAGGGGGTGTTCGGCCCCATTTGTGGCATTTTCAGATTTTATCCTGAAACCCCTCAGCCCCCAGCCAGGGCCCCAGTCCCTGTCCTGCCCCCGCCCCAATTTGGCAGGATGTATCTTTTCTTTAGACGTGTTAACTCCGCTGACCAAGTGAAATGAGCTCTTAAGCTGCGTCCTGGCAGGAGTCTGAGATCTGGATCCTCCTCCTGGCAGCTGTCCTGTTCCCACACCTCACCTCACCCCCGCCCCGCCCCACACAGCTCACCCTGAGTGCAGATGGCTCCCACAGGGCTACGGCCAAGTCCCCTGCTTGGGTGGAGGGCCGCAGAGATGGCAGTGCGGGCAGCAATGCAGGAGAGACTGGTAACAGGTCGAACCCCTCCCCTGCCTTTGCTGAGAGCGTGCAGACACTCCCAGTCGCTCTGGTCAGAGGATGGGGTGTGCAATGCAGACGAGTGTGAGCTGGGGGCCCTCAGAGACGCGGAGCTGCCTGGGGTCAGACCGCTGTCTGTGCATCAGTGGGTGGGAGGATGCCGGCTCCCTCTCTGCCCTCGCCGCCTCCTCTGCGGAGAAGCTGAGCTGGATGTCTCCCTGGTCCTCCAGGGATGGTGCTGAGTCGCCCACCGGACAGGTACTCCCCACCTGCTCAGAGTCCCCGGGACACTGACTTAGCTCAGGACCAGGCACAGCCACAGGCAGGGCTGCCCCCGACTTGGCTCCGTTTTTCTGACTGAAAGTGCCGACGAGGGACGTTCAGATAGATGGGGTGCAGCTGGAAGACTCCCGCCCGCCCTGAGGTGGCAAAGCCCCTGGAGCGCCGCCCGTGGGCACACCACGGGGTGGGGAGGGGGGAGGGGAAACCTCGGCGCAGGAGGCGCTGTGTCCCCTAGTGCAGAGCCGCCTGGTGAGCGATGAGGGTGTCAGGAATCTGGACTCTGGAGCCTGCCCTCGGCCCTGCCCCCAGGAGTCAGCACAGAGGAAAGGGCAGGAGCGGGTGGCCACAGCCTTGGGGACAGGACTCCCTCTGCCGGCTGCCCACCCATCTGTTCCTTCCCTCTCCACCATCTTTGTCCTTCAATGCCTCTCTGCGAGGTGCCCCCCCACCCCCGAGCTGAAACAGCTCTGACATCCCCCGGTCCTCCTGCAGGGACAAGCTGAGGACGTGAGAGCCACTTGGCTCCAAAATAGAACCTTATCAGCCCTGCCCGCCCGCCTGGCGTCAGCAACACCCACTGGACTGTCGAGCACCCTGCCCCCCACTTCTCAGCTGCCACAGCCAACCTCCTGCTCGGATCCCCCCCCCCAAAAAAAAACACCTACAGGGTAAGACGTGGCAGCCTTGAGAGGTGGGGCCCCTGCCTGGGGCCACAGATGACTGACTGCACTGGGTGGTCACTGCTCCCAGAGGGACACAGAGCAGAGGTGGCAGGTCTGTGGGGACAGAGGCACTGGCCCAAGACCAGGGACAGAGGGGAAGGGCCAGCCCCCTGGCCGTGCTCCTTCGGGGCTGTATCCTGTAAAGTGGTAGCTCTTACCCTACATACACTTCACCCCAATAAGCCCACGAGGGGCACCAGGAAAGACCCACTGCCCTCGCACTCATTTTGGGGGGCGCACTGCTCTGAATCCTCCCGGGAGCCTCGCCCACGGACACACCCACACATTTCACTAAGAACATCGAAGTCTCCTATTCAGAAAACCTGAAGTGGAGAAAGCAAACAGGGTTCACGTTTTTGTGTTTTGTTCTGTTTTTAAAATATATTTTATTGATTTTTTACAGAGAGGAAGAGAGAGGGACAGAGAGCTAGAAACATTGATGAGAGTGAATCATCAACCAGCTGCCTCCTGCACAGCCCCCACTGGGGATGTGCCCGTAACCAAGGTACATGCCCTTGACCTAAATCGAACCCTGGACCTTTCAGTCCACAGGCCGATGCTCTATCCACTGAGCCAAACCGTTCTCGGCAGAGGTTTACGTTTTTGCTATGAAATAAGAAGTCAGCAGTTGCTGGGCTTGGTCTGGTGGCTGAGCGGTCCGGCTGCATCCCCTGTTCCAGGACACGAGAGAGATGGTGGGAGGGCCGCCAGCACCCTCCCTTTGATCACACAAGCCTGCTTCTCAGAAGCCCAGACCCCTGGCCCTGCCAGATGCTCCTACATCTCTGCCAGTTCTGATCTCACACCGCTCATGGCGGCCAGGAGACTGGGAAAGGCAGTGCTCGGACTTTCCATTCCTGCCCACAGCAAGGAGAGAGGCTGAGGGAGGCGTGGTGTTAGCCCCCCGCAGTGGGGGCACCCCTCATCGGTCTCTGCCCTCCCCCAGCTGCCAGCATCCCAAATGGCTGTGTGCCTGCACAGGCCACGTGGCAGTTTCCGGGAGGGGTTGCTCGGCTCCGTGTCAGCACTGGGCCAGCTCCCTGGCTGTGCCACGTGCCACCGTAAATCATTCTGTAAAATAGTACCTGCCTCACTGGCCTGCGGTGAGATCCCATGACATAATGCTCCTAAGACACTTAGCACACTGCCTGCTCCCCTAAAAATACTCTTCATTCATTCATTCATTCATAAATACAAGCTCTCCTGGGACTCTCCCACGTGCCCCCTAAGGCCAGCTCACTCAGTCTGCAGGGGAGCCAGGCAAACGAAGCGGTGATCAGCTGACTTTGGGGGACACCGGCTCTCCGGGAGGCCCAGCACCCCCATGCCAGTCAGGCTGCCTCGGGGTGGGCCCCAATGTTTCTAGCTGTGCTCAGCTTCCTCAAAGTCTAAGGCTTATTCGGGGATTAGACCGAGTGACGTGCCCAGGACGGAGGCCTGGGGCAGGTCCCAGCCGGGCTCTGTAAGCCATCCATTAGCACGGCCCACTGTCAGTGGGAAGGATCAGGAATGGGCAGGGGGCGTGGTGAGCGGCGTGAGGCTTCCCGGGAGCGGGAGATGCGGGAGGGCACCCGCGATGGGGCGGCTGGGAGGCGGGTGGACGGGACTGAGCCGCGCTGCCTGGAGGCTGGAGGGCCGCGGAGTGCCTCCCACCGCC